TATATATATATACAGTCTGACTTATTTTTTCTTTTTAGCACAAGCTCCTTTTTGCTCCTGTTTTTAGTTCATAAAAAAACTGAACAAAGAGAGAACTTTTTGAAATATCAGTGACAAAAACTGGAGAAAATGGAATTTACCAGAAATGCTTGATTGGCACTTTCACTGAGGGTCGAATCATCAGGGCTGTCAACTGGTGTCTGACTGGTGAACTTTGAGTCAAACTGACTCACGTCTTCAGCGGATTGCTGCAAAGATAGAAAAGAAAAGCACTGGTGAGGAGGTGCAGTAACATGAGTAGATGTGTCAGGTAACAAATAGGGCAAGGTGGGAAACAGGAGAACACCTGTGGTTCCGTTAATGAAACTTACTCAGTTGAATTTCGGCAGCTAACAGAATTTCAACATTTACCATTCTCAAATGACTACAAGTAGCAGTAACCCCCTCAGAATTCCTGGTGGTCTTCTTCTCCAATACTCACCAGGAAAGGTTTGAAGGGAGGCTCCACTTTACGAGCCAGCAAATCCTCCCAGTTGATGTGTCGAAAGAAGGGGTGCGCCTGTAGGATAAATAAAACATAGCGTCTCTGTCTGGGAACAAACTCCCATTCATGCAGCCACAGTGTATGAGAGTACTGGTACAAGCAGGTCTTGAGATGGTTTGTGGCACAAGAACTCTGCATAGTGGGACCTCCAGGTTTGCAAAGGTCACAAACCAGTTACTTTCTCTGTGTGTGTTTTGCAGTAGAAGAGGCACAACTGTTTGCCTGAGTAACTTAAGCAAGCAGTTGGCTGCAATTAAAAACAAGCATTACATCCATTAACAATGTTAAAATGTTTTTTTCCCGCCTAGTTACTTTAGGAACACTGATGAGAATACTATTTGTTAATCACAGGGAACTAAAATTTTGGAATACAATACAAAAGCAGCTGTGTGTTGTATCACTGTGTTCGGACTATGTTCTCACCTGCACCTCTGTGGCGTCTCCTGCTCCTGCTCCCAGTCGCGAGGAGGCGTTTCTCTTCAGTAACTGTACAATGAGAAGCCCAATTTCAAAAAGACTGCTGACATAACAGCTCCACACTGATTCCAAATAAACATCTGGGGTGTATTCCAAAAAGCAAGTTTATTATCTCTAAGTTTTCAGCTTCAGAAACAGAGATCGTTTTAATTCCGAGTCAGTTACAATGGTGACTAACCCGCTCGCCGAGTTTCTCTCTGTCTTCTCGAGCCCGTAGAGCTGTCTCACACGGGTTTCATTTCCTCATTCATACAGACTCATTCATCAAAACACATCAGAGTGCATGAATGTGGAGAGGTGTATATCGGGAGACGTTACCCCAGGACAATCTGTCCTTATGTTCAATTATTACACATCGTGGATTCAGAATCAGGTCACAATAAAAACTATACACAGTTTACTTTTATGAGACAACTGCTATGTGGCCAATCAAAACAGTGACCACACGTTTCTGTAGTAGGACACTGGTCAATGTAGAATTCCAGTTTTATTAACCATTAAAGAAATTTAAGCCTGCTAAATTGTACATAAATGGACTACGCTGAATAAAAGGTCTTAACTTAATGCCTCTTTTCACAGGCTCACTGATGTATTGTTTTCTAAAAACAAAGCTGCATTGTCACAATAACATTTCTAGCTCCACTGGATTTAAATGACTGCCCTCTATTTATCCATGCTGTGGGGAATTTTTTTTTCCTGTTGCCATAGTGAATCCTGCTAAATCACTGCTAATGGATTTTTTTTCCATTCACCACACACATACACACACTTAACTCAGAGTGAACACACTCAGAGTTGATTGATTTGGCTCCGATCAGCTGTTGTGGAACCATAAACTCAAGGAGTTTCCCATCTCAGGGTTAAGCACCTGCTTTCTGGAACAGGTCCTCTGGGTCCTAAAGCTGTGTTCACATTAGCTGCCGAGGTGACTCATATTTGATCGTTTCCCCTCCAAGTGACTTAGAGCTGAACTTTTCACGGATGTGTGAACACATCTAATCAGACCTGGGCCACTTTACACGTGCTCCTAGATCTGATTCATATCCAGTATCTGACCCTGCTATCAGAACAGTCAGATTGGAATCCATGTGATTTCCTTCAATGCCTCGCTCCCGTGCACATGCACATATTCCCTGGTTAAAAATAAACTGAGTAGAGCAACAACAGTGATGCATCAGTGAAGCGATGAGGATGTTTCACATTTGCTGAATATTTATGGAGAAGCTTCTGTTAAAGCCAAGTTCCAGTTTGAGGAAACCGTGCAATTTGACTGTCGCACAAATGACGTTATTGTTGTTATTCTTTTACGCATGTGACTCAGCTAAATATGCACGCGAGTGGGAGTTTAGGATCTCACCAATGTTCAAATCAGAACTAGATACGTCATAAACATGAACCATCAACACTGAAAGCTCGGCACTGAGCATTAAGACTTGTAATATGAATGTAGCCTAGGAGCTGCAAAATAAACAAATACCCTTTTCAGGAGATCTCGAGCTTCCTGTGTGAGGTAGGGCGGGAGGCTGAGTTTACACTTCAAGATCTTGTCAATGGTCTTTTTTCGGTTTTCACCAGTGAACGGTGGCTAAAGTGGAAGGAGAGAAAAGGCTTGTTCAAACTGCACAGATTGTGATTCATATTTTATAACAGTACATTAACATGAGTAAAGCAGAAAGCATGTTTATGTTGTTAATTTTGAACTGACCGCTCCTGTGAGCATGTCGTACATCAGAGCACCCAGGCTCCACCAGTCCACTGCTCGATTATGTCCACTTCTCATCAGGATCTCTGGGGCCCTGTAATAATTTGAGTAGACAATTCTTACTAATGCGTCAACAGTAAAGATCACTGATGAGTGTGAAGAGAGCAAGTGTCCGAGTGAGTACAGGAAGATAGTGATGAACGCATCAGGATGAGACAGATAGCAAAACAAAGCCAAAGGAGTGGGAAAGGAAATAACATAGCATGACTTACATGTATTCGATGGTCCCACAGAAAGTGTGGGTGACTGTGCCATCATGAATGGACTCTTTACACAGCCCAAAGTCTGTCAGCTTTACATGGCCTGGAAGGAAAATGCACATAATCACACAGGATCATTTGATGCATTAAATCACAATAAGCTTAACTGTAAAGGGAATTACTACTACTTATATAATGTGCATGGTTACAGTGCATATGAGTGGGTATACTTTAAGACCAAATACAAAAAAACTGAAAACAGTTTATAATCATATCAGGCCAGATATATACACACACACACACCTTGGCTGTTGAGCATGATGTTCTCAGGCTTCAGGTCTCTGTAGATGATGCCCTTCTGGTGTAGGTGACCCAGAGCCATGGAGATCTCTGCCAGGTAAAAACTACAGAGAAGAGAACATTTCTCTAAATACAACTGAGTTCATGCAAAGAAAGAGCAAAATGCTTCATTTCTTATTAGATGTTGATATGCCTGTGGTCTTATTCTATATGTGAACCTGTGTTTAGCTTCATTTCACCAGTAAGCCTCGACTGCTAATAAAGGAAGCATATGCTCTGGTGTTATGGTTACCTGTAGTTTACACCAACTAACTGGTTGATTTTACACTATGTGTGGGGTTTACCATACAACATGCAATTTCATAGCCATTTTATACAAGGCAATACTGAAAAATTAAACTGCAATACAGACATTATGTAACAATATGAAAATATATGATGCTGACCATGCTGTGTCTTCCATAAAGATGCCCTCCCGCTCCAGCTGCATGAAAAGTTCTCCTCCTGTCAAGTGAACACACATTGTACTATCTATCTGAAGTCTGAATGACACAAAAGACCTGAAGTATGAAGAAGTTATTCACACTAATAATTGATGCTTTTCTAATGACTGTCTAATTTAATCTGCAGACATGATTCACTGTAACAGTAATGACTGCATGCATTAATATTCCTGCAGTGTGTGTGTGTGTGTCCACTGCTTGTACTGACCACTCAGGTACTCCAGGATGAGGTACAGCTTTCCTCCTGTCTGAAAGGCGTAGATGAGATCAACAATGAAGGGATGCTTCACCTCCTCCAAGATGTTCCTCTCTGCCTTGGTATGGGCTGTGTCCTTGGCGTTACGTACAATCATAGCCTGACGCCCCCGACCCAAAGAAATATACCACCATTAGTCAGGAGGCAGGTGCAGCAGCATGTTGCTAAGAGTGGTGTTTTAATCACTGCAGATGTAACATGCTCCATCTTTTAGTCCATCGTGGCCAATACGTGAAAATATTCTACCGTACATCTGAGAAGCAGGGGCTTCTCTGAGCCACTAATCTAATGAATAAATAAAGCTTAACAAGGCAGATTATGCTACTTCTAACTCTTTTATATGGCTATGCTCTATTCCCCCAGCTCTCCACAGCATTCTTCCCCTAATCTCCTCTTCGCTAACCACTTCAGCCAAAAAACTGAAGAGCTACCTGCCAGCAACGATGTCATCTCAGCTTTGAGTGACAGACAACAGACTGACCACCAACAGGCTCTGACAACACCTCTGATTTGAGTGTTGAAAGCGTCATCCACCACCACCAACCCTGTAACTTCTCTAATATTCTAATGACGCTTACTGCTGTAGTATAATCTGAACATGTTTATTATGAGCCTGCTACACATACAACAAGCAAAGTTCTCATTTAAAAGTAAATGATATGTCTGCTTCATAGCACTCAAAACCACACAGAGAAAAATGGTGACTTCTTGTTTCTTCTCAGTGGTACATTCCAAACGATGACAGGCTGAGATAGAAATAATGAAAAGCAGGAAAATCAAAACTGATCATTGATGCTGTAGCTAAATTTTCTTGTTTCTATTTAAGTGTGAACAGAAAAAAATATTTCAAAATAAACTGCGGCGGGCTCAGTTTTTGTTGATGGAATAATTATCTTGCTCAAAATCTGCAGAGAGAGGATTTTTCACTGCTCCGATCCTTGGAAAGGTTTATTTTACATGAAACATTTGACACCGTTTTTCTTTGGCTTCAAGGTTGCATATTTGCATGTTATTTGTATATCTGTCTGATCAGTGTCCACATAGGAGCTCCTCCTTACAGCTGAGGACAGCTCTGTTAAATTCTGAAGACAGGAAAAATTTCTTCAGTTGAGAAACTTGATTAAAGTAGCGTCACGCCGAAGCTCAAATGAGAACAGACTACATGTCACTAAGAAGCCAGCCTCTGTTTCACACACTACAAGGGCTGAACATCACCACTCTGATGCTTAACAACTGATTGAATCTGGCACATCTTTAACATGTCACTGGGGTCGTTTTAGCCAACCAAGCAGAAGCAGTGTGAATGTCAAGCGGAATCTAATGGGCTGAGACCGAGCCAAGGCTGAGTCAGCACAGCACAGACAGCAGCCGTACATCACTGTAATTCATGCAACTTGAACAGGATTGTGCTTTGGCATCGAAAAGGGAAAAATACCTTTTTTAAAACTTTCATGGCAAATATTTTGCCTGATGCAGCTCCAACGACTTTTCGAACTTGAAAAACCTTCACAGAAAGAAAGGCAATATGCAGGTTTTAAAATAATCAAACAGTTAAAAGAACTATGAGTCAAAACAATACTATATAGTATAGTGTACTTTCTCAAGGCTTGCCGCTTCCTGAGTACAACAGGTACCTTTCCATAACCACCTTTCCCCAGGACCCGCAGCAGCTCAAAGCACTCTGGCCTGATGCTCTCTGTTCCCTTATTGACGTTGTCCTCTGATATCTCAATCTTCTCACAGTCGTCCATGTTGCTGTAGACATACATTCAAAGGAGAGTGTTCACGCTTGTCTACCTCTATTTCAGCCATAAAATCATACATTGGCATGAGCTCAGATGTAAATATTGAATGCTTACAACTCAAATCCACTGCACTGGTCCATGATATCACTGATTTGAGCCTGGAAGAAGAAAAAACAATTTAATCACAAGTCATCAAGTGTGTTTTGTTCCAGTGAGAAGCTGGAAGAACAGCAGTGGAGAAAACATGAGCACTACTCACTGCTGAGCATCAACAATGACAGTTTAATTTAGTGGCTCATTTTCCATTTTTCCTCTGAGTTGGTAGGAAACTTTTACCCTAGGACACATCTGTTTCTTTTTATTTAGTACACTGAACAACTGTCTGTTCAGCTACTACAATAAGGCATTTATAATACTTAGCATCCTATGCAAATAAACTACTGCATTTAGAGCTGCAGTGATTAATTAATTAATCAACTGTCAATCAACAGAAAATTAATTAGCCACTATTTGAATAATTGATCAATCATCAGTTATTTTTCAAGCAATTTATTTTCTGGAGTGTTAGTTGAACAAGACATTTGATATTATCGACTTAGATGCAAGAACATATAAGGCCATTTTTCATTTCTGTCATTTTTAAGACCAAGCAATTAACCAGATGAGAGAAATGGACTGATCAGTAATTAAAATTATTGTTATATGGAGCTCAACTTAAGATATATTTTCTAGTGTACAATAAACATAAATATCTACCTGTTAACAAAGGCATTTGGCTTCATATTCACGGGGGAGCTGATGCAGACAAACAAAAGCTGCTGTGATCTAATGGTACCTAAATCAATGTTTCATAAACATGATGCAACAACATTACAACAACATTTAGCTAAAGGGCAAAGGTTATCTTCAGAAAAATGTGCACAAGTGTGCAGATAATTTCTGTACATTGTACTGTTTACATCTGTTCAACCACTGTGCTACTCCTATAATCTCGGATAACTGTGATTTTGCAGTAATTAAATACCTAGCGTTAGATTAAAATGCAAATATTTTAGGTAAATAATTATTACTTATTTTAAATGAAATGCACGGTGTAGGTCTGCAGTAGTGCTATGCTGCTGCTTTTTGTACTGCGATATGATTTAGTGTGAACAGAAGCAGACGCACAATCCATAGTCCCTCTCGGTCACATGACAAAATAAACTGTTGCACACCGACCCGCATTTATCACTGCAGCACCTTTGGCCAAGTAAGGCTTTGCTTGCACAACTCCAACGTGACAGTGATGTTTATTAATGTAACTGCGTCAGCAACATGGGACCATTAGTTAATGTCACTAGTAAAATTAAAGCACAATAAATGACAGCTGTCTCATTATCACTGTTAGGCTATTGGTGACAAGTTAGCATTTGTGCTAATCCTGTTTAAAAAAGGCCTGAGAGCAGTAGCTGCAGAGGCAGGCCTGCGGTGACTGGCAAGCTACCAGGCTAGTAGCTAACGTTAGCTACTGTGGAGCAAGAGTTCTCACTGTAACAAGTCTTGCAGTTATGTTTGACACCTCCCACTAAAGTACCTCCTCATTCTCATCGTCGGAGACATTTTCCTCCGGCTGGTCCAAATCAATATCAAATACTCCTGCCATGCCAGCGTTTGGTTCGGAACGCTCTGTCCGCAAGAATAGCAGGCGTCCACAACCTCATGGAGCAACGCACATCGCCGCCATAACCGGCTACTACACTGAGCATGCGCACTACAACTCAACAAAAGGGGCGGTGACTTGAGACATTTTGACACGAAGAGCTCTCACATGCACTACAAATTAAATATTAATACCGAATATAACCTTTTCAAAACGTTCTGTTGTTATTAATGACAAGATTTACAACTTTTAAATAGTCCATTAGATGCACAAATCTAACAATAAAGTGAACTCACATCAAAATCAAATTAACATCCCAATTCTACTATTGCAAATCCTGGCCCATATAAAAATCTGAATCCGAAATAACTATTCTGATTTCTAGTCACATCTATAGGCATATTCAGGCGCAATTTAGAAATTTTTGTAATAAAACCATTGTAACCATGGAACAAAAGTCAATTAAATCCAAGTCGATTAAACTGTTAGTTGTTATGTTGCAGATGTTATGGTTGTAATGTTTGTTCAAATAATTGTGCACATTCTGACGACAAACACCTTAATAACATAATAAAAACATTAATAATAGCCTATACTACCATTACTACTATTACTACCATTTTACTATTACTGCTACATGCCTACTTAGCATTTGGAAGACATATAGTCATAAACTAGGTATATATAAAACTACAAAATGTGTAAGCACATATAGTAATGATTAATATTAATACATTTGTCAGTAACTAGGCTATAATATAACAATCCACGTGGGGGCACATAAGTGGAGGCTGGTGTATTTGTACTTAATCATAGTAAATAAAATAATAGTCTACAACACAGCTTTAGCCATTTAAAAAAGTCTTCACTGAAGTTACAACCTAATTGTTGATAAATACTGTACGCTAATAAAAACATCATTGTCTTTATATCTGCTTATAACTACACTATAATGTTTAGATTAAATACACTGTATGCAGTTTATTAAATGCTTGTACGAAACCCTATCAACAAAGTAGCAACATTCTCCCACATTCTGCACGCAGGAATAGGTGTTTTATTTTGAAAGTTTTGGCCGGAAATGCCTTTCTGCTTTCTTGTGGCGGCAACAAGCTCGAAATGCAGTTCACAGACGGTTATAGCGGGTTGGCTACAGGTGTAAAACATTTTATTCACTGGGCGAATTTACCAAGTTGCTTCATTTTGTATGCTGTCATCCTGTAACCGGAAGCCTACAGAAAATCTGACCTGGGTGACAGATGTCTGTGGTGACAGTTCAGCTCGGTCAGTGCGGTAACCAGGTGGGTCAGGAGCTGTTTGACGTCGTTTGTACTGATGTCCGGGAGGGACCAAGAAAAACATACAGCGCAGCCAGCTGTGAGCGCTTCTTCTACCAGACCACACATGGCGGTACTATGCCAGTTCATCCCTTCGTCTGGAATAAAATAAATGGGTTATCCCGTTACTAGCTGTGAGGCAAGTGTTCAGATCTGTCTTTGTGTTTCTATATCAGATCTTACGGCCAGGGCGGTGCTGATAGACATGGAGCCTAAAGTGATCAACCAGAGCATGACCAAGGCTGCAAAGTCTGGCAGATGGAAGTATGGAGACACCTCGCACTTCAGTCAGAAGCAGGGATCTGGAAACAACTGGGCTAATGGGTGAGGAAAATATTTTTTAAAAAGTCCCCATCTATTTCTGCAGGGAATCCAAAAGAGCAACAACCACAAAGAGACTTGTTCCTATACTTCTCATCTACTGCTGCTGTTACATAATAGCAATGCCGCCCAAGATGATGTCTTCGGTTGGATCAACAGTTCAAAACACAAATATATTATCAAGTTTTCTGTCATTTATGACAAAGAAAAGCATCAGACCATCACATTTGAGAATCTGGTTTTGCTAGAAAAATTACTGAAACACTTTACTGACTAACAGAATAGTTGCCATTTAGATTTTAGTAACTGACATTGATTAATTTTTGGGTTTGTTTTGTATATGTAACTAACGTTGCCACAAACAAGAATGATACCAAATGCATAAATGATATCAAATGTAATGTTTTACATGTTTACAGAAACAACAGAAACACAGGAGCACAGTCGTCTGTGTTAAAAATAAATGGAAGTGGGGCAAAAAACTGATGTGTTATATGTGTGTGCTTGGTGTAGGTACTGTGTCCATGGCCCCCGTCATAGAGAGGTGGTGGAGGAGCTGGTGAGGCGAGAGGTGGAGCGCTGTGACAGACTGTCTGGCTTCATGGCCATGATGAGTGTGGCAGGGGGGACGGGGTCTGGGGTTGGCACCTACGTTACTCAGTGTCTCCGAGACATCTATCCAAAGTCCTTCATCCTGAACCACCTCACCTGGCCGTACGGGACCGGAGAGGTACGGATGCTGCTGTCAAGTGCTTTCAGTAGTTCACAGGTATACAAAACACAGTCTTAATAACAATTTGCTGTTAAAATCCTTTTCCCTTGACCTGTCCAGGTGATTGTCCAGAACTACAACTCAGTGTTGACACTGGCTCATCTCTATCAGCTGTCAGATGCCATCCTGGTGCACGAGAACGACACGGTTCACAGGATCTGCAGTCAGCTGCTCAAAATCAAACACATCTCCTTCAGTGATGTCAACAGGGTGATCGCTCACCAGCTGGGCAGCGTGCTGCAGCCTGCACTCACTGCGGACTCGCACGGAGTCTACAGCAGAAATCCTCTGGGTGAATTGCTTCTACTTGATGCCATCCTCACTAACCAGCCCATCATAAACCCTAATGATAACATTATTCTTTAATGTTTCTCTGTCACAGGTGAGTTGGTGAGCGCTCTCACATGCCACCCAGAATACAAGCTGCTCAGTGTATGCACTATCCCTCAGATGCCTAATTCCTCTATAGCCTACAGTACGTTCAGCTGGCCGGGGCTGCTCAAACATCTGCGACAGATGCTCATTTCCAACAGCAAGATGGAGGAAGGCAAGTTCACTCAGAATCTGGTTTGTGGCTTCAGTTTCAGTTAACTGTGGCCTACATTTGAGGATCCTTTGTTGTGTGTCCTGCATCAGGTATAGACTGGCAGGTCCGTCCACCTTCAGGCTCTGAGCGGACCAGGAGTGTCACAGGTGGCAGCTTCAACGCCTCTGTGGCTAACCTGCTTGTACTGAGAGGGAAAGATGTCTACAGTGCAGAGACAGGTCAGAGAGCCTGTTGGAAAGTGTGGATTTTATTTAAAAACAAAAAATTAACTCAGCATTTACATTCCTTATTTATTTCTCTTGATAAACCAATCATGAAGGAGATGATGTTTCTGAAAGTTAACTGAGAACAGGCTGCTGTGGTGGTTTGCAACAGCATCAGCAGCTTTTTAATATTTTGCTGAACAGGAGATGTGAATTAATGTACAGTATATTCTACCCACAGGTGGCTTTGAGGACCCAACCCTGTATACCTCTTGGCTTTCAGCAGAGGAAGCTTTCAACTTGTGGAAATCCCCAGTGCCTTTTAATAAGTATGAAAAATCTGCTACTCTGGTCAGTAACAGTCAGGCTCTGCTCAAACCTTTGGATAACATGGTTGCAAAAGCCTGGAATATGTTTGCCTCTAGGTGAGTCGATCCTTTACTCAGAAAAAAAAAGCTCAGATATCTCTTTTAGGGAAAGCTTTGTCTGAACACTATGAAATCAGTGCAAAGTAGTGCTCAGTAAACATGAAAAGTACTTAAGGGAATATATATTATGTTTAAAAAGGAGTAGTGTACATACATATATATTTAACATTAAAATGCTAAGGTTGAGGAAGAAAAAGTTCATTTGGAAACCAGTAATCTGTTTTGTTTTATTCATGTTCCTTCCCTGTGATTTTTAATAAAAACTCTTATTTTACAGAGCCTATATCCATCAGTACGTTAAGTTTGGGATCTCAGAAGAGGACTTCCTAGACAACTTTACATCTCTTGAGCAAGTCATCTCCAGCTACAGTGAACTGTGCTAGCATTAGTATCATTCCTTTGGACTATGTAGACAGGAGAATACCATTATATGGGACGTTGTTGATGCTTGGTGTGACATCTGCAGACAGGAGTGATGCGAGTTCAGTGCCCTTTGAGGATTTTTTTTTTCAAATTATTATGGACTTTGAAATAAAATAAACAGCTGCTTCCAAGGTCAAGAATGATCCAACTCATCCTTTTTAATGCTGGTGTAGATGAGAACACTACTGGAAGTACTAGATGTCAAAATACTTTGTTCTAAGTTCTACATTCAAAATTGTAATTTAGAAAGTTTTAAAGTATCATCAGAAAAATAAAGTATCAAAAAATAAAAGTACTCTTATTATATGCAGCCCCTGAAAGTTTTTCTTTAAATCCATATAATTTGTGCACACAAATAATTGTATGTAGCAAACTAAAATAACCGCTTCAATTTACAATCTATCATTCATATTAGTGTACAATGACCTCATGTAAATCCTATCAGAGCTTTTTGCAACTCCAGCCTGAGCAGGACCAATCACCTGAAAACCTGAACCTGAGGTAGTGCTGGACCTTTAATAAAATGTTTTGTATGTAAATAAAAAGTAACTAGCACCAACAACTAAATAAAGGTAGTAGAGTTAAAGGTCCTTTAAAATGTAGTGGCATGTATATCTCATGTACAAGTACCTAAGTGCTGTTAGATTCTGAAAAAGCTGTCCAAAAAGTGGACATTTCACATTCAGTTGAACACAACTGAATGTCTTCATCTGACAATCATCACACAATCGGAAAATTGTGTGATGTGACTGAAAGCTCCAAAAAATGACTCAACAGAACCTTGTAGCAGAATCAGCTGGTGCTATTAGTTTGAAAATGTGGAAGTATATTTAGTAAATGTGTTCAGAAATGATGGGAAAAGCAGCAGCCTCTAATGTAAAGTAACAAACACATTAGCTGACATACTTTTTCATTTTATTGGCCATTAATTTGATTAGACAGTATTTCAAAACTGGGTCGATTGGCATAAAATCAAAAGTGGCACAAAAAACAGGTTGTTGTATCCAAAAATGGACATCTTGAGGAGCAGACTTGCCATGAGCAAAGAATGCTGAAGGCCCACAACGTCAGCCAGCTTACAGACTGCTGCTGCCGTGCTCATAAAACAGCCAACACCAGTCTGATAAGCTAGCTGACAAGGTGGAAGGGGTGGTGTCAAAAAGCCGACGGTGAAGACTATAGAAGGGGATCTTCTTCACAAGCCGGTGTTGACCAGATACGACTGAGAATGCTTCAGGCAGGACATATCCACAACACAGAGGATTTGGGAGTCAGGATGGTAGACAGCAAACAATCAGCACAAAGAACCTGATGACTAGTTAGGTCTCCAGAGGGCCCGTTTATCTTCAACTATTAAGGTCAAGGCAGTTATGCTCCCAAGGATAACTAAAAAGCAGTGCTGAACTGTTCACTTACCTCCAAGATGGTCATTCCTAAGAGAAAATTATGCATTAGCTCTTAAAGTTCTTAAACATCACAAGATTACAACAGCACTCATCAGGATGAACATTTAGAAGTTAGTCTTGTTCTACAAGGGAATACAAAAAAGTGACTCAGACTTGGGAAGAACTTCCATGAGTTAACCTATTTTATATATGATCTGATCAAAGTTTCAACCTAAATGTACAGAATAGAAATGGGACTAGTTAGCTGAGAGTACAATATCACTTTACAAATGATTTCACCTTTTTTGTTTTTAAGTTGACTCAGCACAGACCTTTAGCAGAGAAATACATCTGCGCATACTGTCAGAAAGACGTTAAGATATTTACACAATGTGCAAACAATCAATACCACACTGTTTTAAGTCAATATTGCTCTTTCCCACCATTTTAAAAAGACAGTTCCACACAAAAACAGAAACTGGTCTTACTGTTTAAATGGACCAAAAACATGAGGAGAATTTAACCCTGAAAAGAAAGACCATCAATAGCAGTTGTCCTGGCAGCATGCTGTACAAACATCCATCAATACATACAATACATGTTACAAAATTAAATAAAAATCAAGTCTGTAAGTCAAGAACTATATTCAAGGGAAGTCAGACCTTCCCATCTTGCATAAGGCATAGCTTCTGATGGGCACTGCCCGCACACAGCAGTCACCACCAAACTGCTGCTTTACTTCTGAGGTCAATGAATGGGTTAATTTAGTCATTAAAATAAAATGTTAAGATCAGCAGTAGAGTCAATCGCACTACACACACCTAGAGAGTGAGATGAGAGGAAGAACTACAAAACCTGAAGAGGGATGAAAAGTAAACAGCACATACATCCTCAAAAGCACACATACCAACAAATGCTTGTTTTTTTTTTTTAGGGTTCAGCGTCTTTGAGAATGGATGAGGGTTAAGTTTGTTAAGCTGTGAGTGGCTGGGGCTGAGTGGAGGGCTCTCAACAGCAGCACAAACACAGTCGCTGCGATGTTTGTACCGCTTTGCCTCGTCATCACTTGGTTTTCTCCTCCGAGTGCCTCAGCTGCTGCAGCCTCTTGGCGTAGCTCTGGGCCATGGAGTTGACGATGGAGATGACAAAGTAGCAGACCATGACCAGCACCACCTTCTCAAACACCCATGACAGCCAGTTCTCATCCTGGAAACCCAAAATTAGGGTGTTTGTGCTATTAATATCATACAAGCGGAATGTAATACAGTTCAGAAGCACGCAAATCCAGGTATGATAACACTGACGAAATCTCCCCGTGTGCAAAATTTAACTCACTGAATCCAAACTAACTAGAACAATGCTGATAAAACCAGCTGTTTTCCACTTATTGCACATGCACACTATCTTACTAATAAATAAAAAACTGCAGGACAAAAGTGCCAAAGATATGTTTGAGATAATTTAGTTTCTTAATTACCTAATTTGTCCACCAGAGAGCACTAACAAAACATTAAACAGTAAGATGTCCCACTCAGTGCATGTCTTAGTCATGTATTGTATGCAATAATGTTCTTACTGCTGGTGCACTTCCTCCAGCATGGTGCAGCTTGTTCCTCTGTGCTTCCAGGTACTGACTGAAGGGCTTCTGGAGTGCTGGTCCTACTCTGGGCACAGACCTGGCATCGCATTCCCATTTGCATCCACACAAAATGTCAGAGAACAGAGAAATGAGTGAGAGAACATTAAATCACTTACCCTTTGAATACCCTTCCTTACACATGGAGCTCAAAACTGAAGCCTTAGATTTAGAAGAATTAATCCCTGTAAGAGGCTCAGAGAGCAGTTCATGAAGTCTTCTCTCTCCCTGAACACTACCAACGTTCCTCAATGATCCACTCAACATCTTTGTAACCACTGCTGAAGACCACATCCTACATATGGGTCCTACGGTGGAGCTTCCACCTCCTCTACTTGCCACTGTGAGCAGGAGCAGGCAGCAGAGAGGAATGAGGCTGAAAGTCCTGAGCCCTCCTTTTATACTGCTTGGCTCTCTATAGGCGCCTCTGTCAGCCCCTTCAAGCAGGAAGTGAGTCGACATGATGTCATCACCTTTACCACCATAGCTGCCTTCTGGGTGGAAAGACATCTAATCAGGGCATATTCATGCCCTTATTAGGCAGCACGAATTAGCTCACCAGGGGGTTATTTATAATGAATAGCATTTTATTAATTCCTGCCATATACAGGCACTGGTATTGTAAAGGTTCACCACTTGGTCAGCAGCAGTACAGGCTGAAGGGAATCTCTACATGATGCCAAACTTATCATTACCACATGAAGAAAAATATACTGCAGGCTGTAGTCACTCACACAGCCTTTCCACTCTATAAATTCAATTCTCTTTCTGGTCAAGACAAAAACATGTTGTCTAGACTTGACTAGACTAAGCAAAAAATGAGAGACATGTTACTAAACAAACAGCAGAAGGGGACTGGGTAATTGCTGATTTCAAATCCTAGCTAGTTTTGACTGGCTCATTCCTGTTATCGCTCCCATTTTACATGCAAGGACACATGAATACACACACAGCAAATGGCAAAACATTGTGTATCAGCAATGAAGCACCATTTGCATGCATCAGAGCGAGTCACCAAGGGCTGTCTGAATTTCCTGGGAAAGAACCTTGAAATTTTTTTTTAATCAAGAAGAAAAGGTTAGATTTGGGTCTAAATATGGTCAGAGTTACTATGTGCACATTACATACATGTAAGTGAACATTTAACAACATTTAACAGCCAATATATCAGTAAAAAGTAAGCTGCTCATTTGAAGTAGTAGAATCTCAGTTTTACTTTGAATAAGATAACGGATCAGGCCACATATTTCTCTCTGAACCTGATCCGTGTCTGGCAAGCTTATAGCACAGTATATAATGTCTGAACCCAACCTACACCCGATGCAGTTGGGTTTGTACTGTGTTTTCCCCCTTATCATTAAACAAAGCTGACATCCGAGTGCTCCAGTAGTTTAGCCTCAAGTTTGGCCTATGTGTCTGAACCCGACCTGGACCTCAACATAATTCCTGAACTTCTGTCCCAGCCCAGCCTGAACCCTTGGGTCCCAAGAGATCTCATCAGGATCTATTTGAGTATCCACATTCTGCTTTGAATGGGCAATTTTGGTAAATGGTCTCATATAGCACTTTTCTACAGACTGAAGTCCACTTAGAGTGCACACAGGCACTCGCATTCGCACCGGTGATACCACCTGGAGCATCTAGGGGTTCAGTGTCCTGCTCAAGGACACTGGATAAACCAGGAATCGAACCGCCAACCCTCCAGTTAGAAGACAATCCTCTCTAGCTCCTGAACCACATTTTATTAAAACCAACAACTGGGATATTACAGTCTAACATACATTAGTTAAACCAGAGAGTCAGTAGAAGATCGTGTTTCCCGCCTAATTGTGTAATGCTCTCAGTCAAAGCTGAACGCGGTGAGTCAGATCAACATGTTCGGATGGAACCTCACATGCCTGACCACCCACCAGTGCTGCAGAGATGGGTTTGATGTGGTGGGAAAGAAATGCCTTTGTGTGGAGAAATGCATGTACATATACCCCCACAGTGAAAGCATTTATTCACGTGAGATTCCAAATCAATGGACAAAATGCATCTGAAAATGTTTATAAATGCACTTCCAACCACAAAGCCAGGGGAAAGACTCCACAAAGTAACTGATTAATGCTCTCCTACACACACACACACACACACACACCAAGACAGACACTTACCCAATGAGTGACACCATTTGCTCCACTATGTGCTTGCTGAAAGTCATGATAACAAATAGTTTCTGTAGGAAAATAAGAGAGATTGACAAACTTTTAAATGTATTATGTCCTGATCCTATGTGCAGGTATGCAACATGTGACCAAAAAAAGAAAAAAAAAAAATAAGAAATTGTTCTTACACATAATAGACAGATTGATATAAAAACATACATTCTGATTCTTAATCGTAGCAGCACAGCTGTAGAAAATTGAGGCCATATTTGTCAGTGTCTACAGACACACAAATTACATTACTCAAACCAGGCAGTAAGCTACATTTTGGACTGCAAGGGGCTTTGTGTGGTTTGCAAAGCAGCAACATGATTTGGGGGGGCAAAACCGCAGTATTCTTCTCCGGACCTGAAACCGATCAGCTTTGAACAGCATGACACATGGCCCCCTGGACAAAATCAGACAGGATATAACAAGTGATGTCCAAGGGGTTCAAAATACAAATAAGAAAAATTAAAAAAAAGACAAAAACTGCCCCCTGCAGCCTCTTACTGTCTGCTCAGTTTCCTTCTCTCAGGTCTGTCCACTCTATATCCTCCATAACCCCCTGCTGCTTGATGGGCCCCTTTATTTGCAAGGACTCAGGGTGAGATCACTGGCTGGTACCACCAAGAGATGGATGGTTTGTAAAGACACTTAGCAACTCACCCACACAGAGAGAGCTTCTCTCAGTCGAGGCTTATATTAGTCACTGGTGTGGCAGACTCAACAATACACTTGTAATTAACAACTTTTTTTGATCTAGTAGATTCTTTAAAAATCCAAACTCTTGTTAAAGACTTCTTAAAAGCGTCACCTGTTTTATGGTCTGGATGCATACCAAAACTCATACCAGAATAGGGAATCTCCATATGAACAGAATGTCAAAAAGAGTTAACTGTAAGTGCACAGTTAGGAGTTTCTCACAGTCACCAAGTCATGACCCAAGCACTAGATTTGATCTCTCCCACACTCTGAGGTTGTGGGGATTGTTTAAAGTGAATCAGTCAGCATTGTATATCCTCTTTTCTTAGAACTATATATATATATCTTATGTTAAAAATGAAAGAAGGCAGTACACTGAGGTGAACAGCTCTTTTGCTAGTGTCTAACCACCACTGATAAACCTTTTACTTTAGCTACCAACCTGTATGTGCATCTTGATGATGGCTTTCCCAATTAGAGTTGCTCCAAAGAAGGTCCAGAAAGGAACCAGGAAATGACCACAGGTGATTCCAGCCAGGTCAAAGAGAGGATTAGGGATCTGAAACACCAACAACAGACAGTAGTACTGATTATACTCTTGACGTGAACCTTTTCCTTATTAGAATGTGTCAATATCTTTACGATGATGTGTACTTAAAGTGTAAATATTTGAGCATGCATGTCAAATAAAGACTACAGGGATGTTTTAAACAAGGCACTGCACATTTCTACTTACTGAGGCACAAGTCAAGATCCCAAAAAATCCCACTTTCTGAACCAGATGCTGAACTCCCAGTTTTGCTCTTGTCACAAAATCCTGCAAAAAATGTTTTAAAAAGACAATTTTAAACACTACATTGCTGCCAAATATGAAGTGGTATATTTGGGAATGATTATTTTTCTACAAATTTTAAATAGCTAGCTATATGCTGATATGACCTTGACAACCCATTACACTCATCTGCCCCCTAAATTTTACTTACACAGGGATATCCCAGAACACATAATCACCCCTTTCTTTTTCTCTTAAAATAACCACGCGCTACTTCTCGCAGATGCATGGTCCTTAACCAAACAGTGGTGTTGTCTGCAATCCAGTTACTGTACAACAACCTTGGTGAGAGTACTGTGGCAAAAGACCTGCTATTTCTGAGCACTGTAAGAATTTTTTTGTTTGTTTCGGTAACTTCAGTGGCAGTGCGACTAAAAAGCTGTTCGATACAAATCTTTTGACCCCATCTCCATTCCCGTGTGGTTATATGGTGAAGATCACAGCAGATACACAAGGGAGATTAAGAGGCAGTTTCAAAAACTGGCATCTCATCAATCTCAGTTTAAATTTTAGTTTATTTTTATTCTCAACAAATAACAGTTTTCAAATCCATCTTATTTCATTCATATCAGTTCTTTTTGTATCCAGATTTTGTGATGCATATTTTTTTTTAATTCAGAATTAAGTTTTCCTTGTGTGAATAAACCCCACAAAGATACAGTAATAAAGTTTACAAATGACAAGTTATAGGCTTTTTTTAAGTTTATTTCTTGGAATCTCATCCTTTGCCAGTGAAATCCAATGGAAGTTTTACCATTAAAAAAAATAGTAAATGTTTAATTTGTCATATTTAAAAAAAAAATGCAATTCAATAAATCTTTTTACATTGTTTTAGTGTAAACACTTTGCCCCCTTTGTCTACTGAACTTCTGTTGCCTGTGTTCTCTTTTTTAACTTGAGAACAATAACCATAGCAAATACAAATCTCTACAGTACATTCATTCCCATGAACTATGTGTTGATCATGTCTTGACAAACGTGCTTCAGTAGAATCCAGTAAACACCAGTAAAATTGCTCCTTAGTCAAATAACCATGTAGATACATCCTGAATAGATTTCCACAATGAAAGACGTGTTTTGAGGTCAGGCCTCCTCAGCCTATTCAGCTGAGAACCAGTGAAAGGAGAATAAGAGAAGAAGACAATATATATACAACTTCTCTGATTTATGTTCTGCTGACTCAGCATCTGATCTCAGCAGTCACCAGTCATGTGAACTTTCTGACAGGACTGTCTGTCATTCAAATTAAAGGCTGGTAAAAGAGGGAAGGAGGGAGGGAGGGAGAGCAAAGCCCGAGGGATGATTAAAGGGGGAGCTGTGCTCAGGGTGACTCACCAACGAACATACAGATTTACTGGAAGTAAAAGGAGGGAGGAGCTTCTCTGAAGTCACATGGCACTCTTGGACCAATCACTGGACAGTGGCTACATGGTCAGTTGTGCATTATGAAGAGGAGACCAAAACCAGATAACACTGTATCATATTGAGTGGGTGGGCAAAGTGTGAACAACTAAGCTAATGTGGAACCAAAAATAGAGGCATAGATATTTCAATATTCAGTGTAGTTGTGTTTTCAGTGGAAGGCACAAAGTCGAGCCGGGCTACCTTTTACACTAAACATGAAAAATTTGGCGGATTTGATTTTTCCTATTTCCTTTTAGTGCTTGTGAATTAAATGAAAAATTATATACCTTAAACATTTAAGTGTCACCTTTGCCAAAAACTTCAAATCAAATGGAAAGCAACTCTGACCTGAGCGCCCTCAGCCTGCTCAAGCATCTCCTCAAACTCCTCATAGTCTTCATCATCTGGATCAGCTCCTGATTGACGTGCCGCTCTGGCCATAAAATATGGAGGCAGCTCTCCAATGGCAGTGCCTGCACCCTAGGGATACACAACTTGTTACACATCACCATTTTCTTACTTTTCCCCCCACATTCACACACACTACCAACATCATTTTGGATTCAAGATATCAAACTTTTTACTGTAAATCAATGTATACTTGGGCTGTGTTTAAAACAATCATGCTGTGTGGATCACTCCAATGTATTGTCACTGTACTGTCTCTTCATTCAAACTACTACTCACCCACATGCAGGCCTCTAGTCGGACCTTTGACATGATGGAAAAGAGGGAGATGCTGTCCTCCACTTCACCTTGGGGACAGACAATCTGGTCTGGGTACGGTGGCTCTGGGAAGTCTGTGGAGCCGCACTCATATGCTGCCAGGGTTACTGATGCTATGTGAGGACCCTAAGACACAGACAGTAAATGTGGATGGGATGAGCTGTGCCTACAAGTGATTGTACATAAGGCAAACACTGTAACATGGTGGAGCTAAGCAGCGGGATACACAATACACAGTCTTTAAATATATCTTTTTATCTCTGATCATTTGACAGCTATACAATTGCTAATATAAGTAATTAACCTTAATCTTGAATATTCTCAGCAGGAGCAGGCACTTTAAACAGAGAAAAGGTTAAATATTGCCAGTTAAGTATAAGCTGCTGTTGCATGGTCAAACACAGTTCATGTGCTATCAAGCATCTGCCCACAGGGACAGACACATAGGCGCTCCAACAGGAACTGACTCACAAAGTCTCTTTGACAGGTAGTTATGTCATCATTTATCATTAAAAAAAAAATCATGCCAGGCCAGGCCAGGTGTCTCAGTCTAACGACTCACCTGGCCCACCTGTAACTGCAGCACAGCTAATCCATTATGCCTTTTCAGGTGATATAGTTAACACTGACAGTAGATGAGCAGCACACAATTAGTGTGCTGACAGCAACTGCACCCCCCAGGAACAGACTCCAGTCTCATTCAAACCAAACAGGACTTCACATATCTGCATTTCTTCAGGACATGACAAGTCAGTGTTAACAAGAAAAAGCTAAGCTGTAATTCAAACTTTATAACCCAATTCTGATCCACTCACCTGAAAGGCAGTACAATGATCCCCTTTGTTCGCTCTGGACATACAGAGTGGATAAACCACTTCTCTATTCAGTAACTATTGAGCAAGTGCATGTATTCATGTACCCACCAAATTCACCATTCCACTAATCATATGGAGTTAAAAACAACTCTACAGTGGACCTGTAAAGCTTCAACCTTCATTATGACCCAGGGTATGAAACTGTTGGATGGAACAAACATACTGACAGTTTTCCTGTTTAACAGCCTTGCCTGTATCCAAATATTTAAAGATTACTGGGAAAGTGACAGAACAGGATCAGCCACAGGGCAATTAAAACCCCCTTAGCAGCATGACTCAATGTGGCTCAGGAGACAGAGCAGGTCATCCCCTAACTGGCAGCTCGGTGGTTGGCGGTTCGATGCCCAACTTGTTAAAGCATCCTTGAACAAGACACTGAATTCCTAGTTGCTGCCGGTGATATCACCAGTGTGTGAATGGAAAATAGTGTAAAGTACTTTGAGTGCACATCAATGTAAAGAAACGCACTATACAAGTAGAAGACCACCATTTATCATGAATCAGCTCAGCAAATGACATTCTGACTTGTGGATGGCGCAAGAGGAGCATTCTTGGGTGTGTTCCATGGGCGTCATAAAAAAATGTCGGGATTAATTCCCTGCAGCAACTACAGCAAATTTTGTGAAAATCCAGCAATTAACTTTCTGAATAACTTAAGCTGACTGAGGTTAAATTTTAAGCTGATAGTAGTCAAACTTGGGAATTGTCCTTGGGATACCATATAAAATTCATGGCAGACTGGTCACCAGTAGCTCCCTGCTCTCTCATAAACAGGGCAGGGTGGAGCTGACAAAGAGGTAGGTCGACATCATCTTTAGCTCCAACATTACAGGGGAAAACTGATTAAGCTTTAAATAACTGATCTGATCAAATGGCTATTAGACAAATCTACGAATAAAGGCAATAATCTATTTCTTGAACCACAATACTATGATTAGAATGAGGTACTTAGCTGCACAGGAATGATCTCCAAACCATTATGATGAATCATAAGATCATACCAGTGACTGAATCCTCTTTCCCAAGGACACAGTGATCTCATTCTCTCTATGGGACTGTTAGTGCTTCAGGCTTGAGGTGAATGTTGGTGCGGTGTTTTTTTCCCCTTTAAGATTAAAACAGGGAGTTTCCTGTCAATGGCTGACATCAACACTGAGTAGGCAGTTGTGATTATATCTGTTGTACTGTGAACATAAACTAAGGTTTAGTGACCTGGGGAACAGGAAATTGTCTCCTTGTGAGCAGAAGGCTTACATATGTGGCCAACAATGTAAAGAAGGCTTTTAGATGTCTGTAGAACAATCAGGGATGGTCACAGGAATGTGGGGGTTCTTTGTGCAGTTCTCTGGAACTGTTCAGAATATGCAGTGCCAGTCACAGAAAGGGAACATTGGCACCGTGGCACTATCAGTCCATGCATTGACTTTTGTATAGACAACACTATTCTCAACAACATGGTATGCTCTCCCCTCAAAAAACCATCAAACTTAAGGACCTACTGGATAAGAATATACACTTATGACGTAGGAAAGGGCAGGGGTTTCAAATGTATTATTCAAAGGTCAAAATACAATTCATATTCAAGGTCAAAGGTTTGGAACAATTGGTGATAAGCAAATGACTTTTATTAAACTTGCCTATAACTTACGAGCAACTGTCCACTTTATTAGGTACACCTGTACAATTGTACGCAATTCGATGCAACACTTATGCCTTAACATCTATGATTATGAAGCTCAGAATGTTTCAGTTTTTGGTGAAATTGTCATAAATGTATACATTTAACTATATGTTTATTTTTGAGGTCATAATTAAAGGTGGTGTTGTACTGGACTACATTATATTCAGAGGTGTTCCTAATATTCTGACCCTCTCATGGAGAGGACAAAACACATTCAAGTCTAGTGAAAAAATGCCACTGTTTGTCTGTGGCTTTAGTAGCTCTCTCTTGCTGTGTCATAGATTTCACAAACAACTTGTTTGTTGAGCCATAGGAAGACTCTAACTGTCAAAAGTTTTACTGTCCTCATCTCTGTAATCTCAGTCTCTGTACAAATCAAAGGGCCTTGTGCTAGATTGGGGCAGAATGTCTACTCATCTTTGAAAACTCTGTTTTCTTGGTCAACTTTTTTCTTTGCACATTTGGATACTGGGTTGATGTGGAAGAGAATAGCAGCTTTGGGTAGATGGAACAGGGGTAACAAAAAGGAAATGGGAAAAGGTAAGTAAGCTGAACCATCCTTTCAAATGCATTGCCTCTAGACAAACATTTCCCCACAGCTACAGCTCCTTGAACATGCTACTGAAACTACTTTGACTTTTGGTCAATTAATAATGTAAAATTATTGGCTATTTACAAGCTGTTAGGCTGACAAGTACCTTCCTACCTCAAATGGCAAAAATGAGATAGAATATGATCTTCCAAAATTTCACAAGAATGGGTTTAGTCAAGTGTCCAAACAAAATCATTTTCTGCTGTAATATGAAGCAGGAAAAGAATGATTTGCTCAAACTGGAGATAGGAGACACTGAAATTTTAAACCTTCCACAAGGTTTCTATTGAGATTTTAATCACTTCCAAGAGCAACGTTAGATAGGATGAGTGACACAAAATGGATTTTGTCACTGATTCTAGGAGAGAATCAAAGACTTATGGGTTGCAAAGGAATGTTTTAAAATAGTCACTGTTGCAAACAGCAACAGCTGATAATGGTAAAAACAAATGAGAAATCTGTTTTAACAGATGCTGGGTTGTTCCATATGGGGGGAGGGAGATGACAGTGCCTACTCACAAACCTCCCTCACCGAGGGGAGAGAGGATGAGGTAACACCTTTGGCAAATCTGCGCACAAGTACAGAGGCGCGCGCACACACACACAATACACAGTATGAGCCACTGCTACCGCTGCATTATTGTTGGACAGTGTATATATAAAAAAACAGAAAAACTACCAGACAGGAAAATATTGTGAAATTTCTTAAACAAACACATGGTGAGCTGTAAGGCATTCAAAGAAGGGGTACACACCAGTACTGGAAAACAGGAAGGTCACACTTATATCAGTTCACCTTACCCTGTTTCATTAAAATAGAAATAGCTGACTCAGCTGATCCACATCAGCACAAGTTCTACAGAACCAAAGCCACATCACCAGCGTAAAGTGAACTACGGTGCAGAATTACTTCCTCTCTTTCATTTAGCTAAATCCTCCTTTTTGACCACAACCAAATGACAAATGACACATATCTTGGTGACTCAGTCCTACAGTCATTCTGACTGACTGTCATGGAAAAATTACATTAACTCTTGGTTCACCCCGGACAGACGGGTGACAAAACAGAACAAGTCTGAAAAAGTCAATGACAATGAATATGGAGTAGGCCGCCACCCTCTGGCAACTAGAGGACTGACATGAACTTTGTGTAGATGACAACAAACTAAAGTAAGTTGCAGGGTATATATCTAGAGGAAAACTGCTTCAATAAGTCCAAAAAACCCTCCATCAGTGGACTAAACGTCTATAGACCTGTCGCCCTGACATCTGTAGTTATGAAACCCTTTGAAAGACTGGTGATGGGCAAACTGAAGGACATCGTAGAGCCACTGCATTTTATCTCCTAGGCAAACAGGTCAGTGGATGCTGCAGTCAACATGACACTGCATTATATCCTGCAACACTTCGACTTCCCAGGGACCTATGCACAGGTCCTTTTTGTGGACTACAGCTGGGCGTTCAACACCATCATCCCAGACATCCTCCGCTACAAAGTGACCCAGCTCACTGCCCCCACCTGTCAGTGGATCATCGGCTTTCTGACAGACAGGAAGTAGCAAGTGAGGCTGGGGAAATTCGTCCAGCACCCAGACTTTCAGCACATGCGCCCTCCAGGGATGTGCGCTCTCCCCTCTGCTGTTTTCCCTCTACACCAATGACTGCACATCAGGGAACCTCTCTGTGAAACTCCTGAAGTTTGCAGGTGATGCAATGGTCACCGGTCTCATCTGAGATGGTGAAATGGAGTCTGGAGGAATCATTGAGTCTGCTCTCTGCTCTTCCATCACTGTCTGGTTTGGCTCAGCAACCAAACAGGACAGGAACAGACTCCAGCAAACAGTCAGGAGTGCAGAAAAAAATCATCGGTGCCAGCCTGCCCTCCATGGAGGACCTGTACACTTCACAGATCAAAAGGAGGGCAAAGAAGATTTCTGCAGACCCCTCACACCCCGGACACAAACCGTTTGAACTCCTCCCCTCTGGATGGTGCTACAGGTCACCGTACGCCAAAACAACCAGGCACAAGGACTGTTTCTTCCCCCAGGCCATCACTCTGATGAACACTTAACCCATGACTGTATGCCTGGACATAGTAATCACCCCAGTGCAATATATTTTAAATATAACCATTTTATACATCAGCACACATTTTCTACTTGAATGCACATGCTTTTTTATTCTAATTTTTACTGCTCTATTTTTATTTTCATTGTTATTTTCTATTCCTGTTGCCTTGCAGCGCATTGAGAGCCTCTGTACTGTAGTCAAATTCCTTTATGTTCAAACATATTTGGCTATTAAAGATGATTCTATTCATACTGTGGATGCACACAGGACACACGATGACTACAGCTCACCGGATCATGATCGTTATTAGTTTCCAATGGTTAGAGCCATCGGTTGAGTTGGCGCCGCAGATGGCTGCCATCAGTTCTGTACTGGAAACAAATTCCTTGTGTGCAACATACTTGGCCAATAAAGGTGATTATCCTTATCCTTCTTTGTACACACACTGTCATGTTTACATGTATTTATTGTGCATATCTCCACAATTTTGTGCACTTAGTGTGCAAGTGAACTTTATCACTGAGAGCCATTCCCTGCTATCTTGCTATTTATACCTACTGTATTACACTCAAAGACATCCCATCTAGGGAAATGTTTGCATCAACATATGCTCAAGATTATATAAACTTTTATTTAAAGCCAGTTCATGTTCTACAAACATATTAGTTCTGCTTTTTTCTCACTTGAGTATCTATTGTTTATTGTTGTTCAATTTAAAATTTAATACCTCTTCACTATCACAGCTGCCCTCAGAATGAGGTGTCTTGTCATGCACGCTACTCTTAATGCAGTGCAGCATGACTCTTTCATATTCTGTGTGAACATATTTCCATACCATTAGCATTCTCTTACCAGATAGAGAAGGAAGGTGTGCAGGCCAGTCCCAAGGCCTACTGAGGACAAGATCCCAAGGCCTACCCAGTAGGCACACCATAAGAACCTCTTCTCCAGGTACTGAACATACTACAGTGAAAGAAAGTGCAGTGAATAAACATATCAGCAGAGGGACAGAAGAAAGGGAATGGTGACTAAAGTGTCATAATTTGAAACAAATTATTTTAGTTTTTAAAATATATTTTTGATTATATTATAAATATATTTATTTTTCAGGTATCTGTACTTTGAGTGTTTTCATTTTCTGCTGCTTCATACTTTGACTTTATTATATTTTACAGGCAAATCTTGTACTCTTTGCGCCACTACATTTATTTAATAACTTGAGTTACTAGTTACTCTTTAGAATCAGATTTAACTACTCAAAACATAAAATAATTATCTGACTTTATTGATCCCTGGTGGGAAACTCACAAAATACCCATCAATACTTCAAATTATAAGCATGTAAAGTAGTTAAAATGAGCTCCCTCTTTACCAGCTGCAACATTAAATGCGATGAACACAATAACGCATCAGTAATTATAATCCATTAATATAAATGAATGTGAAATGTACCATTCTGCATTATGAGTAATTTTACTTTTGATATTTCAAGTACGTTTTGATGCTAATACATTTTCTTAAGTAACATTTTAAATGTAGAATTTTTACCCGTAGCTGATTATTTTTACACTGTGGTATTGTTACTTTAACTTAGTACAATTTGAGTACTTTTTTCACCACTGGTTATAAATGTGTGCTGAAGCTTGATGGATCTTAAAATGGACTGTGACATATCCCTGAACAGAAGGGTTTGTAGACATGCCTTTCTGCCAACTGACTGTATGATCAAGGGTTACTTGACTATAGTGCAGACCTTATTATCTCCCAGCATAAGCTTTCTTACAGGAGAGTTTTAGGTAGATCAAGAGTGACTTATCATTAACCTTTAAACAGGTTTGTGATGAAGCAATGGTGTTGATTATTAACATCATTGAAAAAACAAAACTAATCAGTCAAGCCTTACATGCTGATGTCTTCCCTCAGTGGAGTATGCGATGGAGAATAGAGAACATAACACCAAAATTAAGAACACTGTGCCTCGTCGCTGCCATAGCCTGGACAAAGAGACAGACAACAAAATGTCAATGATGAAACACGTTTCTAACATACAAACTGAAAAAATGGTTTCTGATCTCTGAGCAATACAGTTAAACAAAACAAATAGGACAAAAGATCAATAGCACATTTATGCACAAACATTCTGACCACCCAAATGTGCACCAACTGGGAACACTAGAAAAACCTGTTTAACTTCTTACTTTAATGTCCACTCCTTTAATTTGATGAGGGTTTCCAGAAGGAAATAATGTAGAGTGGTAACAGGCTTCCTCCATAACACCAGAGACATACGCTTTTCCTTATCCTTCTGTCTCCTTTCTCTTATGGACAAGTCTGAACAACAAACAGAAATGCAATTACCACAACATAATGAAACACTTGTAACTACATTAATAATTGCATTCTGTTGAATTGGTGATGCTAAATCCATGATACATAAGGAATCAAGATGTCTATTTCTGTTCCAAGCTATTTCCCTCCTTTAAAAACTGAAAGCAAACTAAAATGAACCAGCTTGAAAATGTTTTATGACTTTTGCAAACCAGGAGGTGGTACGATAGTTATCATCCCATGTCATCATCAGAGATAACACAAAATGAACTTTACAGGGGCACTTAGGGGATGAGAGTTAACTTCTCTACCTTTACACTGAGAAAGTTGAAGTTTACTAAAACTAACCTGCAGACTTGCCATTCTGTTTTCCTTTAGCTCCTGCACGTTTCTGACGCTGTTCACATCTTGCTCCATTTGCTGCCATGTCAGTCAGTGTT